ATGTGGCAAAAGAGATTACCACCAACCGCAACCCTCAAACTAACCTGGAAAAAAGACGGGAAACATATTCATAGTAACGGAAAGCTTTACGAGACCGTACAAATACGGCACATAATGTAACTACAAAGTAAAGCAAATATAACAACAAATAAAAAACATAAGCTAACATATACAGCAAACAGACCACCCTTTTTCGCTCTTATCGTTTTTTCTAGTGTTTGTGCCTAAATCAGCTGATCCGATTAACACATAGGCCTAAGACCAAGTATATTTCTCCAGCATCCCCAGGTATTCCTCCGGCTCAAAGGAAGACCTACGGCTTCCGTTTGTCCTGTCTTGATCGGTAAAGAATATAAAGTCTACCAAAACCAATTACTTTTCCAGCAAAGTTAGAAATTAGCTTTATGAATTCAGTAGACGAGCTAACATCTCAACTTCGGAAAAAGGCTCTTCCGCATTTTGCTTCCTCAGAGCTTCAAAAAACGTTGACAGTTTCGAGGGTCCCATATACATATTGACAAGATTCTGAGATATACAGAAAAAATATGGACGAAGACACACATGATATAGATGATATTTACATGTTCATATATATATATATATATATATATATATATATATATATATATATATATATATATATATATATATATATATATATATATTTATATACATATATATCTATATCTATATCTATATCTATATCTCTATATATATATATGCATACAGGTATACACACAGACGCACACGGAACACACACACGCATTAAGCAAAAAACAAATCACTGCCCAACGCTTGCCGCTCACCGCCCACACTTCACCCAAGGAGTAGCTCCCCGTCACACCTCGCCAACCACACCACAGTAATGGCCGCCTTAATATGATAATCACAAGACATCACCAGCGCCCGTGCTTCCGCCGTCACTCGCGCTTTCACTGATTAGATGAACCTACGTAATAACCGCTTCTAGCTGTTGAGTCGAGATCCCGCTCGAGCATAACACGGCGGATAATGTTTTTACCACCCCCCCCACCCCGCGCAAAAATATTGAAGCAAAAGGAAAAAAGTACCATCATAAAGTAACGGCACAAACTCGTCCATTTCACTCGTCCGTAGCGGTGAAGGCGGTCTGTGCCCCTATGGCAATGGCAACGGCGTCTCGATTACGAGCAAAGTGATGTTGACAGTTACTGTTCTGATGGCGTTAGGGGCGGCCGTGACGTTCGCGGCGGCAATCAGGTTAACGTCGTTCCTCACCCTCTCCAAAACGACACAAACGTGAGTAAACCGCAAAGTAACACTCGCTCCCGTCCGATGCGCCACGCGCTCTCAGCCTTCCCTCGGCCATGGCTCTCACGCATTGCAATAAGGCTAACTCTGTATACCTTTAGCGGACATAAACCACGTCCAAGCGCTTGGACACATCTCCAAAGAGAAAAAAGAACAAATCTCTCTCCCAAACCGCATGAAACGCAGCCATCAAAGCCTAAACCAGGAGTTCATCAATCCCTCGCTGCCGCTTCCCAAAAAGGTTAATAATAGGATTACGGGGATATGAAAAAGCAATGTTCACAAAGACCTGCTTATTGCTTCGCGTACGTGTGTGGGTGCGTGTGCGCGTGTGTGTGTGCATGTGTATATGTATGCATATGTATGTATATGTGTGTATATGTATGTATGTATATGTGTGTGCGTGTGTGTTTGTGCGTGTGTGGTGTATAAGTGATTATATGTATGGCTATGTGCATTTGCACACACGTGCACACGCAACCACACGAACACTCATTTCCGTTAATTTCCTGACAATAAAGACACACCAAGGTTTAATCATGAGAACCGACACACAGGCACACACTGGGACACACACACACAAACACACACACACACACACACACACACACACACACACACACACACATACACACATACAGTGAGAGAGAGAGAGAGAGAGAGAGAGAGAGAGAGAGAGAGAGAGAGAGAGAGAGAGAGAGAGAGAGAGAGAGAGAGAGAGAGAGAGAGAGAGAGAGAGAGAGAGAGAGAGAGAGAGAGAGAGAGAGAGAGAGAGAGAGAGAGAGAGAGAGAGAGAGAGAGAGAGAGAGAGAGAGAGAGAGAGAGAGTGAGAGAGAGAGAGAGAGAGAGAGAGAGAGAGAGAGAGTGAGAGAGAGAGAGAGAGAGAGAGAGAGAGAGAGAGAGAGAGAGAGAGAGAGAGAGAGAGAGAGAGAGAGAGAGAGAGAGAGAGAGAGAGAGAGAGAGAGAGAGAGAGTTAGTGAGTACATAGGCGCACTAACAGCCACGCGGCGGCCGCTTACACAAAAAGTAAGCGGGGTCGTATTCATACCAATCAAGGGAGCTTCACGTACAAAATTGGCAGAAATTGACTGCATATGCCCATCTGAATGTCAATAAAGTGCCTCCCAGGTGCCAGGCGAAGGCACAGACGCGGCGGCACCTGGCCTCAGCTACTTCCGCGACTCCTTAGCATCCTTGTCATAATGAGGGAGTGAGACCGAGGATTTCTTTCTAGGGAAACAAGAATGAAGTTTAAGGAATATTCTACCTTTCCCCTTCACCTCGAGAAGTCCTTCCCTTTAAAACCAATACGATTATTAGGATGGGATTATGACATTACCATCAGTAACTGATCTGAATATACATGGAGGCGCAGCATCCAGTATACATGTAAATGAAGCCGCGGTACATCTATTATGCGTATAATACTCAGATGCATTTGGACGGGAGGCTTGCGTACAATTATAACCTGATCCAATAGGCACTGATGTTGTTAAGAGCGATCTGCGAGAAGTCAACTGACTCCCCCACAGCGTTAGACGACCTACAATACGTTGATAGCCGGAAGTATCACCCTAACACAAGCTGTCCCCTGGCGGCCATGACGCCCCGCCCGGCACACGCGTTGCTCTATTATGTGCACACGGCACAAAACCACACTTCATTTAGCCTCGTGGACCACACGCCAGCATGAAGCCCCGAGTAGGCCCAAGGAACCCCACCAAGGCCACCCCGCGGGTTGGAGGTTGTGGTAACCGGATGAGATGAAGGCGTGAAGGGCCCTCGTGGGTAAGTGGTATCCCCCCTCCCTCCCTCCCTCCCTCCCTCCACCTCCACGACCTCTTGTGATTCCCTCCCGGCCTTGAGGTCCTGCGTTAGTCTAACCGAGGGCGGGGGAAATTTGTGTTTCCCGTTTTAGACCCAGAAAGTGAAAAAAATCACTACTATTTAATGTAATTTGACATGGCTCAACTGAACAACGCGTCACAAACTGGGATTACGCTACAAGGCCAACTATCCTTTAAAATAACCACATCAATCTCCACAAAGGCCAAATGCTCCTAGTCCATTTACAAAACAACAACAGGGAAAAATGGAAAAGAATTTTGTTGGCTGTTCGGTAGAAGTGGACCGCCACTCACTCTCCCCAGCTGGTCTCTTCACCTAATCGAACTGCCCCTTTTTCCACCTACTGTTCACGACGCTTCGCTCCTCCCGTATCACCACTCTAGTCCTTTGTTTTCATTCTTACATTCGCTTTCTGTGTCTTGTGTCTTAACTCCCCTTCTTCTCCTTATTCTTCATTCCTCGCAATTGCTCTTGTTATCCTTTGTCATTCTTTTCTCCCCTCTTTCTCACTTATATTTTCTTTTTCTTCCTTATAAACTCCCGGCTTTTATCCCTCTCTCATTACTCCAAAGTGGACATAATACGAACTTCCTGTCTTTTCTCCATAAGACCAAACGCGGGATACTAAATAAGAAAGAGAAAACGTTGTGATGGGGGGGGGGTCAAAATAAGAGACAAAAACGAAAGAGATAACAGGAAATAACATGGAGAAAGAAGTGGATCGCTTTTTCAAGATAGGGAATAAAATAACATGTCACAGAAATTAATAAATAAGTGAACGAGTACACTGGCTCAGGCTCGGGGAAATGATGCTATTACGCGCTTACTTGAAGGGATTGTGGCTAGCTTTACGGAAACAAGAATTAGACGAAAGCGTGCGTCAAGCCTCAACAACAGATCGTCGGAAAGGGAAAAGACTTTGTTAAACAATACTCAACGTCAAAAGAAAAAAAACATGGAGTGAATAAAGAGATGTACTCTATTTTTTTTTCTCTCTCTCTCTCTCTCCCTCTCTTTCTCCCTCTCTCTCTCTCTCTCTCTCTCTCTCTCTCTCTCTCTCTCTCTCTCTCTCTCTCTCTCTCTCTCTCCCTCTCCCTCTCCCTCTCCCTCTCCCTCTCCCTCTCCCTCTCCCTCTCCCTCTCCCTCTCCCTCTCCCTCTCTCTCTCCCTCTCCCTCTCCCTCTCCCTCTCCCTCCCTCTCCCTCTCCCTCTCTGCTTTTCAACATTTTTCTCCGAATTTCTAGTACACTTAGAAATCGAGAACTTTGCACGCTGACTCGGAGAAATCCAGGCCCGGAGAGGCAACAATACCGCTGTTATTGTTCTCCGACAAGCCTCACTCCCATCCTTTCCAGGACATGTCAATATGAATGGCCCGGGGCAAGAGGACCTTCGGAGACCGAGCCCTTTCCCCGTGCCTATAGGATTCCATTGGCTGCCCGGTTTTAATGGCACTCAGACCTGCCTCTTATTTTCTTTGAGGGAAAGGTGCTGCTCCTCTTCCCCGCCATGAGTCGCCGTCTGCATTTGCATGGAATCCCGACGCGAAGACATGCTGAGTTCGATATTTCCCTCCAAAATGCATAATTCACATCCACCGACACACGCTAAAGCCAGCTCCTCCGCGCCATTCCAATATCAATGCAATGTCAAATATTTCGCTGCCCTTAAAAACTGTATAAAAATCGCACATCCAAACCAGGAATGAAGTAGAAATGTCATCCAAATATTAGTGAGGGACAAAAGTCTGAATTACAGGTACAGCGACCTTTGGGGTCCCACATTATGACCTTTATAATATCAGCATAATGCAGCCCCTTGTCCCGGTTCACTCGCAGTTTAGTGGACCCGAAATTATCTCCTGACTGCTCTTCACCGCAGCGCTGTCCGCGTTGGCCTGCGGCACA